ATCCCAGATTGCTTTCCGGAGAACATCTTGCGCCTCTACCAGCCTTTCCTCACACTCTTTTGTCGTTAGCTCTAATGTCCTCGCTTTGCTCAGCTCTCAAACTGGAGTCGCCTTTTTCCCAGATCTCCTCAAGCGCAGCTTCGAGATTGTCATTAGCGTAGATCACTTTATCAGCTTCTACTGCAATCTTTCCAAAAGCCTCCTTCAAGTCATCTGCTGACATATTTGCACTGGCTCTGGTCATTGTATTGGCAAGCCGTGTGAACTGCCTTTTCGCATTCGTCCTGCTTGTTTTCAATAACTGAAGTGCTTTGGAGTCGGCCATTTTGGAGCGAGATTTGGAGAGCTGTGGAGCTTTGAGAGCTGTGGAGCTTTGAGAGCTGTGGAGCTTTGAGAGCTGTGGAGCTTTGAGAGCTGTGGAGCTTTGAGAGCTGTGGAGCTTTGAGAGCTGTGGAGCTTTGAGAGCTGTGGAGCTTTGAGAGCTGTGGAGCTTTGAGAGCTGTGAGAGCTTTGAGAGCTGTGAGAGCTGTTGAGCTTTGAGAGCTGTTGAGCTTTGAGAGCTGTTGAGCTTTGAGAGCTGTTGAGCTTTGAGAGCTGTTGAGCTTTGAGAGCTGTTGAGCTTTAAGAGCTGTTGAGCTTTGAGAGCTTGCGTAGCTTTGAGAGCTTGTGGAGCTTCTTCTGCTACTTGCTTCTTCAGCACCAGCCGGTTTTTTACTGTCGAGCGTTTTCTCAATTTGGTGATTTCCCCCACGCTGAAAGGGGGTTGTACCCGCAACTTGAGGATATGCAGAGGAATTTACTCAGTCTATTTAAAACTTTCTTCTTTTATTGTGAAGTTTATTTTATAACATCAGAGCATAAGCAGCAAGCAGCAGAAGCAGATGCAAAAGCAGATGCAGGTGCAGATGCAGAGCGAAGCAGCAGAACAGGTCAGCAGAACAGCAGAACAGTTCAGGACAGCAAACAGGTAAAAAACCTTTAGAAAAACACAGACAATACCTAACATCAGAAACCCAAACAATTCAATTTAGCATAATCAATAAGTCTCAGTGAATGAATGAATTTCCCCAAATTAGCATAATTAAAATAGAATATCACATTTCAATAATTCTGTACACTAATGCAAATTCAATACATTAATATCATTAATACTATAAGTTCATTATATTAGCCTTAGCAAACAATTCACATGATTTAAACAATTATCAATAATGCATATTCATAAAACAGCCTTAACTCATTGCAATCAAATACACTAGCACTTAAACACAACTCATGATTAACAACACAACTCATGATTAACATCACACCACTATTGCACTGCCCCAATGTCCCGCGCTCCCACAGTTTAAATGTCCGAGCCGGCACGGAAGCCAGACTCCTCACCCGTGACTGAGCAGCGCGCACACACACATACACGCGGCCGATTGCACCATAGAAAGTCTGTACAAACAAGCGGGTCTTACCGGCTGCCTCCTCAGTCTTTAGATCGCGGGTACAACTATACTAGAGCGCACGTACACAACTTATATGCGCCCTTGTTTACAGAAATGAACCCGGAAGCGCCGGTCCGTTCACTTAAATAGTCCGGGTTACTAACAGAGTTCCGGGCGCGCGTTCCGGGCACGCGCATAGACTGACTAACCCCGCAAATAGCGCTACAAAGGTTATGAAATGTTCTGCACAAATCGCCAAAATAAGAGAGGGAGGTGTGGCTCTCTGTATTGATACTAATATTCTCTGTAGTATTGTGGACAGCATGTGTTTAGTAGTATACGATCTACTCGAATGTGTGACTGTAGAATTAGTACTTCCTAAAAAGAAAAATATTATTGTAAGCTTCATTTACAGGACACCAGGATCTGACCTCAAAAAATTTAGGGAATGGACAGAAAAATGTTAATAATAACAAAAAATATATTACATGTGGAGATTTTAATATTAACTTATTAAATCCCCAAAAACATAAAAGTACAGAAGACTTTATTGACATCATGTTTTCCCTGTGTTTGTACCCACTCATCACAAGACCCACCAGAATTACATCACAAAGCACCACACTCATAGACAACATCTGTAATCTTTTACACAATAATGTAATTGGTGGTTTGTTAGTGAATGATATCAGTGACCACTTACAAGTGTTCATAGTATACCATGAACACTTACAAGTGTTCATGGTATACCATGACCACTTACCACTGTTCATGGTATACCATGACCACTTACCAGTGTTCATGGTATACCATGACCAGTTACCACTGTTCATGGTATACGATCTTAACTGTAAATTATCTAAATCTGTTCAAAGTGAATATTATCGTAGAGTCATAACTGATCAATCAATTACTGCACTAAAGAATGAAATGGCGACCCAAAACTGGGAACCCATTTATCAACTGACTGACGTAAATGCAGCGTTCAATATCTTTCTTGATATATTCCTTACGCTCTATAATAAACACTGTCCCATCAAAAAACCTACTGTCAGAAAACACACAAACACACCCTGGATAACTAAAGGGCTGAAAACTCTTGCAAAAAGAAAAATGTTCTATATAGGCAATTCTTTAGGTACAGAACCAGTGAAACTGAACAAAAATATAAACAATATAAAAACAAATGAACCAGCATACTAAGAGCAAGTAGAAGAGAATATTATACCGATTTATTGATTAATAAAAGAAATGATACTAGAGGAATATGGAAAGTCTTGAATACCGTTATTGGTCGTGATCCCAGCAGCTCCAGGGTACTTTGTGGACAATGACACAATAAAACATGACAAAACGACGAATGCAGACAAATTCAACAATTTCTTTGTGAACATTGGTCCTGAACTGGCGCAAAAAATACCATCTACCGATGGACAAATTAAGGGACTAATCGAGACAAACCCTAACTATATGTTCCTCACTCCAACCGATGAGAGAGAAGTCCTGAAAGTCATCAGGAACTGCAAAAACAAGACAAAAGAACATCGACATGAGGACTGTTCGAAATGTTGCAGAAGAGATCATACATCCATTCACATATATCTGTAACTTATCCTTCCAACGTGGTTGTTTTCCATTGCAAATGAAGACCGCTAGAGTCATACCTATCTTCAAATCTGGGGACAAACATCATTTCAATAACTATCGGCCTATTTCCCTTCTGCCACAGTTTCAAAAATGTTAGAAAAATTATATGACAAAAGACTTTGGAGCTTCATCGAAAAGCATAAATTATTTTCTGATTGTCAGTATGGTTTCAGGGAAAACAGGTGTACTTCACATGCATTGATTGACTTACTAGAACAAATTACAAATGGTATTGAAAAAAATAAATTTGTTGTCGGAATTTTTATAGATCTTCAAAAAGCCTTTGATACCATAGATCATCAGATTCTAATAAAAAAGATGGAGGACTATGGCATAAGGGGAGTAGCAAATAAATGGCTAGTGAGCTATCTATGCGAGAGGAGACAGATTGTTGAGATTGATCAATATAAGTCAGGCTTTCTGGACAAAACTTGTGGAGTACCGCAAGGGTCCATACTTGGACCTACACTATTCCTGATGTATATTAATGAAATCTGTAAAGTGTCGACCAAAATGAAATTCATCTTCTTTGCTGATGATACCAACATTATTTATGCCGATGAAAACCTTGAGCAACTTTTGGCCTCGGTAACAGTGGAAATGAATAAGTTAAAACACTGGTTTAATATTAACAAACTGTCACTGAACCTGAAAAAGACAAAAATCATGCTCTTTAGTAATTGTAAAAATAATATACCTATTAGAATTGTTATTGATGACACACCAATAGAGCAAGTCCAACAGAACACATTCCTGGGTGTTATCATTGATGAAAAAATCTCCTGGAAACCACACATTTGTTACCTGAGAACAAAAGTTGCCAAATGTGTCGGAATGATGAACAAAACATGTAATTGACTGTACACCAAAGCTCGACTCCTACTGTATCATTCACTCATAATGTCACATCTATATTATTGTGTTGAAGTTTGGGGAAATTGCTATGCATCCCATCTAAAGCCTTTGATTACCCTACAGAAAAAGGCCATTAGGATTGTCTCTGGTGTACACTACAGACATCATTCTAATCCACGATTTGTAGAGTTGGAAGAACTCAAACTGCAGGATGTGATCAACTTTAAAACTGCTCAAACTATGTTCAGGGCATCTCAAAACTCTCTGCCTCCTAATGTTCAAAACTTATTCCACGATAGACACGATCGTCATAGTTACAAACTTAGAGGAAACCAAATTAAATATCTACCTAAATTTAGAACTACTCTAAAGTCAATGTGTATCTCAGTGCGGGGAGTGAAACTTTGGAATAACTTGCCGAATGAATTAAAAAACTGCTCAAGCATAATTCATTTCAAACAGTTGTTTAAAAATGTTTAAAAAAAATATAAAGAGGAAGGAGAGTGATGCCCTCAACATGAAGTAAAGGGGTGAGGGTGTAGGGTCAGAGGGTGTTTGGGCCTGTGTCTGTGAGGTGTTGTGTGTGTCTGTGGTGTGTTGTGTGTGTGTGTGTTGTCTTGTTTGTCCTGTCTCTGTGGTCATGTCATGTATTAGTTCATTCTATGTACCGTATAAGTTTCCAGCTGTTTACGAATGATCCTGTATGTATAAGGTTCTTGTACTGTACTTTGTGTTGAATGTGTGAGGGGGTTGGAATTCAATAAGCATTTGCTTCATCCACCTCCTTTTCAAACCATGCACCTGTATATTTGTCTGTTATGTTGATTTGTGAGATGATGATGTTTGTGCAGGTTTTGAAATAAATAGTATCTATCTATCTATCTATAAAAGAGAGACCAGATTAACCAGAGTGAGAAAGAACAGAGAGTGCAGAGTGTCCTGAAACATTTTACCCAACAAGTCTCTTCATTACTATTAACCCCACATCCGCGATGCACACACGACGCCAGTGGACTATCAAACAGCCCCTACACACGGCTGTCCTTACACCTGTCAGTTTGGATGAAGGCCCAGCTGTCCACCTCCGTGTCCCCGCCTGGAAGCCTCCTCTCCTGGGCTCGTCTCGCCGCAGACAGCCCGCTGTTCTGGTTCTCCAGGGACATCATTAGCCTCGGAAACATACACGGACTGGACCTGACTCTGAGCCAGGACTGGACCGTCACGGATCACTCTAGTCCCAGTATACATGCAGACCCAGACCTCTCTAGTCCCAGTACACATGCAGACCCAGACCTCTCTAGTCCCAGTACACATGCAGACCCAGACCTCTCTAGTCTCAGTATACATACAGACTCAGACCTCTCTAGTCCCAGTATACATGCAGACCCAGGCCAGTCTGCGGAGGAGGGACTGTCGTTACCACTGCACGAGGTCTACATGAGTCCAACAGTCCTGGGTCCTGACACTTTGGAGGCTGTAATTTCACCTGTACCAGTTGTTTTAGGATGACTCTGTGTTGAATCTGAGAGACCAGAGAGAGAGACCAGAGAGAGAGACCAGAGAGAGACCATGAAGAGAGACCAGAGAGCGAGACCAGCAAGAGACACCAGAGAGACCAGAGACAGACCAGAGAGAGACCAGTTGTAGTCCTCTGAACAAATCACTGCGGTGCATACAAGACACAAACCATGAAACACCTGCAAAAAACATCGAGTGGAGCTGGTCAGGAGGGCCTGCTCCACTCTGGGCTGCTCCTTGGACTCTGTGGAGGTGAGGGACAGGAGGCCCCTGGACTCTGTGGAGGTGAGGGACAGGAGGCCCCTGGACTCTGTGGAGGTGAGGGACAGGAGGCCCCTGGACTCTGTGGAGGTAAGGGACAGGAGGCCCCTGGACTCTGTGGAGGTGAGGGACAGGAGGCCCCTGGACTCTGTGGAGGAGGTGAGGGACAGGAGGCCCCTGGACTCTGTGGAGGAGGTGAGGGACAAGAGGCCCCTGGACTCTGTGGAGGAGGTGAGGGACAGGAGGCCCCTGGACTCTGTGGAGGAGGTGAGGGACAGGAGGCCCCTGGACTCTGTGGAGGTGAGGGACAGGAGGCCCCTGGACTCTGTGGAGGTGAGGGACAGGAGGCCCCTGGACTCTGTGGAGGTAAGGGACAGGAGGCCCCTGGACTCTGTGGAGGAGGTGAGGGACAGGAGGCCCCTGGACTCTGTGGAGGAGGTGAGGGACAAGAGGCCCCTGGACTCTGTGGAGGAGGTGAGGGACAGGAGGCCCCTGGACTCTGTGGAGGAGGTGAGGGACAGGAGGCCCCTGGACTCTGTGGAGGAGGTGAGGGACAGGAGGCCCCTGGACTCTGTGGAGGTAAGGGACAGGAGGCCCCTGGTCTCTGTGGAGGAGATGAGGGACAGGAGGTGCTAGTCAAAGCCACCTCCATCATGAACAACACCTCCCACTGCACAGGACTGTAGAGGAGCTGAGGAGCTCCTTCAGTGGAAGAAGGAGCAGCCTTTGTCCCCACCGCTGTCAGACTGTACAACAAGTCTGACAGTTTCTGTCTTTTGCAGAGTCTGAGTGATTAATGAATAATAATAATAATGCATCGGTTTTATATAGCGCTTTTCTGGATACTCAAAGACGCTTCACATGTGTCATTATTCATTCACTCCATACACGGTGGTGATAAACTACTAATGTAGCCACAGCTGCCCTGGGGCACACTGACAGAAGCGAGGCAACCAGTATGCGCCATCGGCCCCTCTGACCACCACCAACCATTCATACACACCAGACTCATTCTAGGCAATGGGGATGAAGTGTCTTGCCTAAGGACACAACAGCAGTTTGGCACTTTACAGCCGCAGCCGCCCCACTGTGGCTGGTGTTCCCAGAGGTTAAGTGTCTTGCCAAGGACACAACGACAGTAGTCAGTGGGAGTCGATGGTGAAAGTCTTGAGCGGGGTTTGAACCCACGACCTTCTGGCTCAAAGGCCAACGCTCTACCAACTGAGCTACTCCAGATGTGACCTGTGCATTTGTCCTTCAGAGATCTATAAAGTCTATCTGATCTGATCTGATCTCAGTTTCAGTCTGGTACTGGTTCATTCTGTGAGGCGCAGATAGTATCGGCCTCTTACATGAAGTTGGATCTGTGCGTACAGAAGTATTTGTAGTCATTTAATTGAACATGTTCTTCTCCGTTCCCAGCTGCCAGTCTTCCACTGAACACACGTTTGTCGGAGTGAAGACCTTCGTGTTGAGAAAACTTGATAACAGAGCTTCATTATGATGAAGGCTGTCACTGAAGCAACAATCAGCCACCATCGATTTCAGACAGAGGTCTGTCCAACTCACTGAGCTGAGGGCCTCGTTACGTCTGCTTCAGAGGACCGCCGTCAGTACGCTACAGCTGCTACAGCTGTCAGTACAGCTGCTACAGCTGCAGCACAGCTGTCAGTACGACTGCTACAGCTGCAGCACAGCATCTAATACGACTGCTACAGCTGCAGCACAGCTGTCAGTACGACTGCTACAGCTGTCAGTACGACTGCTACAGCTGCTACAGCTGTCAGTACGACTGCTACAGCTGCAGCACAGCATCTAATACGACTGCTACAGCTGCAGCACAGCAGTCAGTACATCTGCTACAGCTGCAGCACAGCTGTCAGTACGACTGCTACAGCTGCAGCACAGCTGTCAGTACGACTGCTACAGCTGCAGCACAGCTGTCAGTACGACTGCTACAGCTGCAGCACAGCTGTCAGTACGACTGCTACAGCTGCAGCACAGCTGTCAGTACGACTGCTACAGCTGCAGCACAGCTGTCAGTACGACTGCTGCAGCACAGCTGTCAGTACGACTGCTACAGCTGCAGCACAGCTGTCAGTACGACTGCTACAGCTGCAGCACAGCTGTCAGTACGACTGCTACAGCTGCAGCACAGCTGTCAGTACGACTGCTACAGCTGCAGCACAGCATCTAATACGACTGCTACAGTACTGACTGCTTCTGTCAGTCTGCCCCAGGGCAGCTGTGGCTACAGTAGTAGTTTAACACCAGCGTGTTTGGAGAGAGAGAATAATAATGTGTGAAGTATCTTTAAGTGTCCCAAAAAAACGCTACATAAAACTGATGCATTATTATTAATAAAATCTACAGACCAGATCCAAAAAGGAATCTGTGATTTTATCAGAATCAGAATCATTTTTATTGCCACGTAAGTAACAAACAAAGTTACCACTTGGAAATTGTTTTTGCAGAGAGCGTGCCACTTTGTGCATTTATAATGATCTATGTAAATGTGTCATTAGCCGTTAGCCGTTAGCTGTTAGCCGTTAGCCGTTAGCTGTTAGCCGTTAGCCGTTAGCTGTTAGCCGTTAGCCGTTAGCTGTTAGCTGTTAGCCGTTAGCCGTTAGCTGTTAGCTGTTAGCCGTTAGCCGTTAGCCGTTAGCTGTTAGCTGTTAGCTGTTAGCTATACATGAACATGGCATCGGTTACCTGCAACAATGCTTTTTGTTCTGTCCCTATCAAACAAACATAATAATAATATTAATAAGAATTGTCCAATCAGATTCTTTCTTTAGTAGCTTGTCATAGTAGTCATGTTAAACAAGTTCATGAAACAGTGAGACCATGAACGGCCAACCATGGTTTGGTGAAGGACCACTGTACGAGTACCAGAAAGACCAGAAAGATACACCAGAGAGAGAGACCAGAGAGAAAGACCAGAGAGAAAGACCAGAGAGAGAGACCAGAGAGAAAGACCAGAGAGAGAGACCAGAGAGAAAGACCAGAGAGAGAGACCAGAGAGAAAGACCAGAGAGAGAGACCAGAGAGAAAGACCAGAGAGAGAGACCAGAGAGAAAGACCAGAAAGAAAGACCAGAGAGAGAGACCAGAGAGAAAGACCAGAGAGAGAGACCAGAGAGAGACCAGAGAGAAAGACCAGAGAGAAAGACCAGAGAGAGAGACCTGAGAGAGAGACCAGAAAGAGAGAGAAACCAGTGAGAGAAACCAGAGAGAGAGACCAAAGAGAGAGACCAAAGAGAGAGAGACCAGAGAGAGAGACCAGAGAGAAAGACCAGAGAGAGAGACTGTAGTCAATAATTCCCTTTGACTAACGTGTTTCAAAATGGATGCAGAAGTAAGGCAAACGATGTTCAAGTTTAACATCTGCATTTAATTATCTTTACAATCAGATACAGAATGTTCAACAGAAGTGCTCCTATTCTCTGCCTGGTCTTTCCCTGTCCGTGCCCTGTCCTGTCTGACCTCAAAAAACACACACACACGGGCTCATGAGGGAGACTTCCGATGACGTCATCCTTATGCGTCCAAGGGTGGAGGTTTCCGGGTGTGCTGACGTCCCCTATCCACTGGGAGGCGTCAGAATGCAGTTGGTGAATCTCCCAGTCTGCCTCAAGATCAGGTTCTGTACTTTTGTCCTCGTCAAAATGTTTATTATTTAAAGTTAATAATTCGCCCTGTTTAAACAGCATTTTATCTTTATGACTCATGTCTGATTATCCTGTGTCCTTGGGGTTTTTCCTGAGTGCACAGAGGTCTTTCTGGCTATGATGTTCAAATGGTCAAATATTAAAATATACAACAGTTCCCCTCTGTTGACCTATATTCAACCAATTTAGGTCACAATCTTTCAATATTCCTCCTGGGTGCTGAGACTGGGGAGCTCGTCCATCATCGCCTTGGTTCTTGGTTCTGGCTCGTTATCTGTGAAGAATTAATACAAAAAGAATACACACACAACAACATTCGAAACATTCCTTCACAAAACTCTTTGATGACCACTGCTGTCATTCTGATTCTTCTTCAACCTCGTCTGTAATGTATGCACTAAAACTATTCACTATAGTTTAAACTATTCTAATCTATTCACAAATATGTTTGCATATTTTGCTTTTATTGAGCCCTATTCTTAAACATATGTTTTTATCTAATAAATCTATCTATACTGTGGTTTGCTGTCATTATCAGTGGCTCTGTGCCATTTTGTGGGGCTTTGCTCATTTTTCCAAACACATTTTGTTGAACCAGGAAGTGCTGTCACTTCCTTCTCTCAGACCGTTTGGGATAAATGTACATCGTTAATCAAATTGGTATTATCCGTACAGGAGCTAATCCATTTTAGCAGGTTTCTCTGGGGTCAGTCCCTATACAACGGTATTTTGATTCTCTAATCTGTTGCTGACAAATCGACAGCTCTTAAAATTCTCAAAACTACCTAAAGATCTACTTTTGTGCTTTACCCAAATACATTAAAATGCTTTCAAATGTTTTTGAATCTGTGTTGGTTCTAATCGATCTCATTAATCTATCTCATTAGCTTTTTGCATTGTCAACATTCACCTATGTTTGAAACAAGTGAATTTGACAGTATCTAATAAAACTGTGCATAAACTGTAATGAACTTTATCTACCTTTGAAGTAAATACTTTTAGACATAATATGAAGGAAATGGTCCTTTTACCGTTTGATATTAGCCTTGGCTAAAAATAATCTCTATTTTTGAAAGCATCTATGGTTGATGCATTTATCTATTCCTATTTTTACTCTATTGTGACTCTAAAGCTCGGTTGCAGCTTGAGCAAAGGCATATTCCCAATTTTTGAGTTCTGATTGTAACAATTGCATTGGCAATAGACGATTTTTTATTGGCCGGTTCTTGTTCTGCAAATCACTATTCTATGTATTGTATTTCAGACAATTCCAAAAACAACACAGTCGTTCTCCAATATTAAAGACATACATCTAAATCAAGTTGCCTGAAAGGGATTTTAACTATTTTAAAACGTTCTCTATTATAAGGCTATGAAATTAATTATTTAATAAACAAAAGCACATTCATGGCTTCTGTCCGCTGCTTATAACTGTTTAAAGAGTTGTCCCAAACTTAATGTGTGTAAATACATCAGCTGTTTGTAATAAACAATAACATTTAACCTGTTCTCCAATGGAGCAGCTCAGAGGCTGCATCAAGAGCAATGTTATATTTGAGCTATTTTTAGATTTAAAATTGTGTTAAAGCCTGTCGTTCTATGTCTGCATTTTAATACTACTCTCTATAAACACATCTGCACTAGTTCCTACAGATGTGGAAAACAGAAACATCTAAAATCTGACTCCATTTGATTCCTTTTTACTTTAGTTATTAGAACAATTTGACCTTATTGATACTTATTTCCACAATAGAACTATTTTGATTATTCACTAGTCTCACTATTATTACTATTGTTTATTCTGACACTTCAACCTATAGCTCCTCGAATCCAATGACATTATAGCTCCAGACTATTTCATTCTATTCTATTATTATCTTATTATTATATGATCTATTATCTTAAAGAGTAGATCCGTTTGATGTTATAAGCGCTATTATTTCTCCTTTTGAATTTGCACAACACT